TTGGTCTCTGACGAAAAAATTGGAAAACCAGCTACGAAGGATACAAATATCCCTCGAGCGTCGAATGGTCGGGATAACCTTGCATCAACAACGGCTCAACAGGCTGCACAACGAAGAAATACGTTCGTTGTCTAAAGTCCGTGATATCATTCTGCACATCGACAAAGCAAAACACACCTTTGCTGGACATCTGATAAGGCGCAATGACGGTCGTTGGAGTACAACAAGTGTGTGCTGGGAGCCTCGCGAGAAGAAACGGCCTCGTGGCCGACCCCCTTTACAATGGCAAGACTCTCTTGCTCACAGAAACAATATCTACGATTCTAATTCAATTAAGGTATCAGTCTACTGGACAACGTTGGCTCAAGATAGAAAATCGTGGAAAAGAAGTTGGGACCCGCGCACGAGCAATCGCAGCTGACAACGGGTCGCCAAGTAATCCAAGTAAAAGTGAGTAATCAATAACATATCAATCCGGACTAATAACCGCACAGGCTGGTCGGTCTTCCGTCTCTTGGGATTAGTCAACTGGTATGTACTCTTATTGGGCAAATATGGGAAAACAAAAGCATTGTGCTGCATATTGGTACACAGGCTGTCTTCTTTAGGTCATTGTAAAATATAAATAATGCATGCATTCAAACGCCACCAAGATTCTAGACACATTCCTAATAAACTCGTACGCAATAAAACGTTTTCTCTCACTCTGGAACTGCTGTGTTTCATTTTTGATAAATCTCGTGGTGTTAATGTGAACTACAGCCAAGGGAGTACAAATTAATCGAGTTGTTTCGGTCCCGTTTCGTTGTCGTAGGTGGGAGACATGAAATTGTCCCTTTTAAATGTCATTCCATACTTCAATTCAGTTCAGCCATTTAAAAGATATTCTATAGGAATCGATTCCGGTAAGTAAAACTACTGACCACTCTTGCACCACGAATGAAAAGGGCGAAATTCTGATCAATGACAACGAAATAGCTCCGTTGCTTGAACCACATATGTATGTACATACATAGTTATGTGAAGCTCAATTGCCATTAGCTCATGTTCGATCTCAGACATCAGGTCAACCGAAGTTCAGCCACCATCAGTCACTATAATGGTCCATACCGAATACCACACTGCCACCGTTTCAACTGATTCAGACTGTCTGTGATTTGCGAAACCAGTTCGGTCCGCTCGTGTCTTGCTTTGAGCTAGACTGAAGTTTGGAATGGCTTTTGAGTAAACGGATATCGAGCATTATTGGTTCCCAGCAGAAGGGGCAAAAGCTATGGCCAATTAATGACGGGGCGAAAAACATAAAATACGGGTCCGAGACGAGAATGAAGTCGAACGCGAACGCTTTATCCATAGCTCAGTGCCACAAAGTAATATCCGTATCGCGAACGCGACTGTTCTCAGGGAAAAGCGAAACAGGCCGAACATTGTTTGTGGCTTTACAAGGGTACTAGACTGGTCCATGACCCACAGACATTTGATATCTGCACGGTTTGACAACTGACCACTTATTTTCCCAAATTCTCATATTATTTGATAACGCAGTCAGAAGCAAAGGGTACAGCTCCAGATACTGGCCACATATAAGTGTTGAGAAGAACGATAGAAAGTGTGCATGGTTAGCTATAATTCATTAGGCCACCTTCTCACCTGAGCTTTTCTTTGATCCAACAGTTTCTGATTTTCCGCGCGGTGAGATTTCAGTTCAGCCGTAAGGGCATTGTTGAGCTGCTTCGCACGGGCCGCCTCGGCCTCAGCTTCCATTTGCATTCGCTTTTCCTGGAAGGATTAAATCGATCATTTCTCGAGTCGCACAAAAATTTTATAATCATATTTTTCGCCTCCCCAGGACTTGATTCTTTCCTGCAAGGTACGGCTCTCGAGAGTCATAACTTTTGAATATGTGGTCAACAAAGATGACCTTAAAAATGGTTTTCAAGCCTATTAACTGCTTATTTCAACAATAAATCCTTTGGATGTCATGGTATGTCATGATGAGTTCAAAAGCTTGAAAAAGTTGGTGCCGAATTACGACCTCCGAGCTTTCCTCTTAGATATTCAATCTTACTCAACATTAAAGGCACAGTTCACGATAATTCAACGGGCGGGAACGTCAATGGCTTCCCCGCCTCTCGATCGATGTCACGCCATCACGTCAGACGAGTGTCGAGACAATACAGATTGCAAGTACTCGTTTTAGGACCGACACACAATCAGCTGGTCGCCGAGTGATTAGGCAATGTTTTTCTCCCATTCTTTTTTCCTCTGCTATTTTTTTTTTTTTGCTGCCGCGATCTCTTATTTAATTTCCTTCTCCCAGAAGCTGAAAAAGGTGAGCTACTTTTGCTGTTACTGAGTTTTTTGTTTACCTATGCGTATAAGTGAATGAATTTTTACTTATCAAAGTCTGTTATTCGTACCAGGACCCACACGTACGCAGTGAGACACATTGTATAGCTCGTCCAAACGCCCCACTCTTCATTTTTCTGGTATCATTCTCGTCCAGCCCCCTTTTAACGGTTTTTCGAAGCATTTTTTCACTTTGGAAACACCGTTTCACGCAGTTTCTCTACCTTCATCGCGCTACTTTCAACCTTGTTTTCCATTTTTCATCATAATCTGGATTACCCAAAATTATCGTGAACTGTGCCTTTAACTTAGCCTCATCAATTTTTTGTCGAGATCAAGAGACAGAGGGATCTTTCTTCTTCTACTACAAAATGAGTGAAATTCCAGAGATTGGAAGGGATAGGAATCGAAATTTCAAGATGATACACTCTTCTCGATCATTACATTTTGAAGGAAAACATGTCCCTTCTTAGATTTGAGAAAACCTTCAATGAAGCTTTTCATGTCAACTTCTGGGATTATGGTGTTTTAGCTGTTTACGCTTTCGATTCATAAGTTCTTGCTATTTGTAAACTGATATAAGCAATTGATATCGATTGAGGAGCTGGAAAGTGCCGTGGATAATCAATGGTGTGAAAACGTCGAGATGAATAGCGGAACTGGTGCGTCATTCTGTTTATTCAAAGGGCACCTTGAAGAGTGGATCTCTTTCGAGACTTTATCAGAGGATTTTACTGAGCAGAACCTAGCGGATAAACGGAAGACGCGTAGGGTCTTGATGGTGAGTAAACAAACATGCTGCTACCGCGAAAACATAAACAGAAGCATTCTTCACGTCCTCTTATCTTTCCACTACACTGTTACGTGTACAAACGTTACCGAACCTGGCAATAGAAAAGGGGTTGGTCCACAGATCTCAAAAATACACCTGACTCACAAATCATTTACCGAGCTAGCTTGGTCATTAATCTCGATAGAGTTGACGGATGGGAAGGAAAACTCGACTTCTTTCTTTTAAGATGTACTGATTTTATCGCAAACTTGAAAAGAGAAAAAATGAAAAAGAATTCAGCACGTTGCCTTCGTTAATGTTGAATGAAATTGTTACTCGATTTTTCGAATGAAATTTAGAAAATGAATTTATTTTACTTTGACTTTACTTGATCCCTTTTAACCAACCTTTTCTGCCCATTCCTTCTGCTCCTTCGCTTTTTCCTTCTCCAATTCTTTTGCCCTTCGAGCCTCCTCTTCAAACTTCTCTGTTTCGGCTTTCAGTGATTTGTAGAGCTCCTGAACACCACATTTCGGTACTTATGTTTGTGGAAATGAAGTCTGTCAATCAATTGCTTTTCTGTTCGACATCAGTACATATAGTCTTACCAAAAGAGTAAAATTGTATCAAAAAGTCGTCCTCGTAACAGCTGGACAACTTCTATAAAGGCCCAACTCTCTTCGAAGAATGAGCCACCCCCCCCCCTCCACTTCAAGAGTGTTTGTATTGAGAGAATTTGTTCATTACTTCAATTTCTTGATTGCGCTTTTCCATCAGCATACGCTCGCGATCCAGTGCTGCTCGACTCTCCTCGTATTGCTCGGTTTTCACGCGCAATTCCTCTTCAAATCGTTTCCGCTCGACTTCTCCATTCTTTGAGCTTTCCTCGAGTTCCTAAACTTTTCAATTGTCCAGTAACAAAAATTGAAGCTTTTTACTACATAGTGACGGTGGTTTGAGAGCTCAGCGTTTGCCCCGCTTGGGAATGATCGGAAGGCTAATTGGTGGTGTCCAAACATCCCCTGTTTCTCTAAACAGCTTGGTCATCCGATAGACTAGCAAAGACCCCATCTTTTTTGTCTTCTTGATGACATATTCGAAAGAGCTAATCACAACGAACACGAATATCAATATGAGATGGTGATACAGTGGTCATACGTAGGATTCGGGAAAAGCATAAAGTGCGAGCTCACTTCCAGTGGGAGATTGAACGTTGAACCTCCCATAGCAGGTTATGTACTTATAGCAAACGCCCCAGAGTTTCCAACTATGATGAAAACAAAGTAATTTGATCTTTTTCCGCACTATTTTGGGAGCATTACCTTGACTTTCCTTTCTAGAGCCTCCACTTCTGCGTTTGACTTCATTCCTTTGAGCATAGGTCTCAAACGGATAAACAGCCGATACCACGGCCACAATCTGCAACATTACCGCATGCTATGGAATTTTGACAGCAAAAAGAAATCGGAGTCATTATGGAGGAGTCTCGTAACAATTACCCACTACATAACTACTCAATAATACCGAATTATCATAGCTTTGACCTCAATGTAGTCCACTGTCGCACGTTCCTTTGAATTAATCCGTAGGCTTCTTGTTGTTGCAGTAATTGTTGGTAGTGACACTGAAAAATTTTTTATCATTACTGTTACAAAAAAGATTTGGTGGCACAGTTGAATTTGGAAAGGATTTCATCAAAATATAGGATGGAACCCTCAATGTCAACAAACATGAGTAAAGCTGCGAACGGAAGACGGCAAAGATCAGAAGCCAAATGGCGGCCCAAAGGACCCTTTTTTAAAATTGTGGCGAGCATGGCAAAGCCAAAGAAGCTAGTTGGTATAGAAACTCTGAACGTTGGATACTGGGAAGTTCTCAGTGGTTGTCAATCTGTTGTAGTGCATCTGTTATCTGTTATCTGTTATCCAAGCTAAATCCCGTCAGAAAAGACGCTGGAATGAATTGAAGCACAAGTAAAAAAGAAAAAAAGAAACAGAAAAAAGGAAAAAGAGAGATGTTAGACTAGAACAACGACCATAATAGTATTGACAGAATCAAATTCCTTATTCCGACTATTCTTCGACTAAGGAAAATCATCCACTTGGAAAATGTGAGTTCATCATTTAGTTGTTCTGTGCCAAAAGTGTCAAAGGTCGAATCAGGATACGCAAAGGATCGGTACTGGGCAACAATGTACCCATTTCAAGCTGGTCACGTCTCTTTTCATATTGAGGAATGGCATGAATGCCTAACCATGTAGCGAACATCCTCGGTCAAAGAAGCTAGTTGAAATAGAAACTCAGAACGTGGGATACTGGGAAGTTCTCAGTGGTTGTCAATGTTGTAGTGCGTCTGTTATCTGTTATCCAAGCTAAATCCCGTCAGACAAGACGCTGGAATGAATTGAAGCACAAGTAAAAAAGAAAAAAAGAAACAGAAAAAAGGAAAAAGAGAGATGTTAGACTAGAACAACGACCATAATAGTATTGACAGAATCAAATTCCTTATTCCGACTATTCTTCGACTAAGGAAAATCATCCACTTGGAAAATGTGAGTTCATCATTTAGTTGTTCTGTGCCAAAAGTGTCAAAGGTCGAATCAGGATACGCAAAGGATCGGTACTGGGCAACAATGTACCCATTTCAAGCTGGTCACGTCTCTTTTCATATTGAGGAATGGCATGAATGCCTGTCCAGTTGATGGGGAGACATTGTGGCTAAGAAGTGCCACTATCTTGATCACTAATCTCAATTTGTTGCTGTAGTTATTTTGTGTTGAATATTTTGTGCATTTTTTAAAGGACTTCAGGCCACACCAATAGATTGTCGGAAAAGTCTTTGCACATTCTCATTTCCATGTTCAGAAATCTTTGAGAATTCCTTCAGGACGTTCATTGGGGAATATGTGTATTTATGTATGATTTTGCAACGGTTATGGCTGGAAGAATCGCTCTCGACTCAAAGCAAGTCAAGTTGCTGCTGCTTTATGAGTTCAGGAAAAAACGTCACTCCAAATCGTGCAACAAGGAAAGTATGTGGTGCGATGGACCCCTCCGTTGTCTCTCACAGCGCAACAAGAACCACAAGTTCAGAAGCAGCCACTTTGACTAGACCGGAAAACCGCGATCTGGGAGACCAGCTGAGCTGAGTAACGATCACCCTTTGAAACTGGTTGAAAAGGACTAGAGGCGTTATACCTCCGAACTAAAATAGGAGCTCAATAGCCATCATGACACTGTATGTAGCTGCCCATTTGCATCCCCTCGGAATGACATGGAGATACTAAGTATTAGTTGTGAATTAGTTGTGTGCTCGCTGGTCACCAGCTCTGAAATAGCAGAGATTCATGCCTGGGCTTGTTGATTTTTTGACGTACCAACGCGTGGCTGGAAAACTTAACCTTTAGCGACGAGAAGTGTGTTCTCTACGTAAACCACACGAGAAAGCGCCAGTGGCCTCAAATCGAAGTTACTTAGGAAGGCAATGCTTAGCATTTGGCGCTATTCGCCTGGATGGTTTAGTAGGACTTGCTGCCGTCAAACTCCACTGTCAGCACCGAAGCCTAGTGTATTCTGATGGGCGTTGCTGCAGCTTTACGAAAGAAACAGCGGGAAGTCTACTCTCAACGACAATGTTCGCCCACACATTGCAAGGAGACAGAAGACACTTTAAAGCTCTGGATGGCATGTTGTGGCCCACCCACCCAATTCACCACACCTGGCACCAACGGATCATCACCTGATCATGTCGCTATCAAACATCTGAAAAATAAGAAGTTCGATGATCTCAATCAACACAGACACACGTTGGCGAGTTTTTCTCCTCAAAATCTCAGGGATTTTATTAATCCACAAGTTGTCTGATAAATGGTTTTACCTTGTCGATAATAACGGTGCATATACGAATATTTGTCAATAGCCTGCTGTTGTGAAGAAAAAAATAATTTGGAAAAAAATGCAAAATGTGCAAAGTCTTTTCCCTCATTCTAGTAGACTGATATCCGTTACATAATACACAGTGCATAATCTTATAACGCAAGAAATTCCTGATTGAACCCCAGTAGTACAGGCTCATATAAATGCTATGAGTACTAGCGCATATAACTTCTCATTAAGACAGTAGTTCAAGCTATTCAACACAGGCACTTCTTAGGAAAGGTACTTCTCAGGGATATTTAGAGGACACGTTCCTCGACAGCCCGCCAGTAGTTTTACAGTATTTGAGTGCCGCCTACATAGATACATACACCACTACACAGAAATACACAGCATCGGTACACAGGGGTTTTTTCAAACACTGTACACTTAGGCATAGAAAAGATAGCACTTCATCCACGAGTTTGAGGTCATTGCACAGGTATTTGGTACGCCATTTACTGTGATTTCGAGGTCTAAAAAAGGCGTGACATGCCGAAAGCTCTTCAATATAGGTAAAGATGGAAAGCGCTCATTGAAGATACGATAGGACTGAATATAGTACAGCAAGATCTTGACATGGATCAGTGAATAAACCCTTGTGCCCCTTTATTGCGTCGGTTTTTGTACGGCTACCGGTTGCAGTAAAAGAAAACGCATGTGAACGGTGAAACTCATTTCTCTTCAGCCATGCATGGCTACATTTCAGGACCGTTGACGATGTCATATCTCTTTTTTTCCTTCAGTCTTATAGTCATATCTTTTCACCGCATAATTGTCTAGGTAGAATACCTACGATGTATGTCACCTCCAGCCTTGAAATTGGAAAGCCCTAATAGAAGAAAAGTAATTGTGAAATAAATACAAAGTTCAAAAAATATTTATAAGCTATGCAGGTGTATCCTACATTTTGGTGAAATTACATAGGTGTAGGACTTGATCGCACAACATGATCCGCCTCTTTGATGACATGCTCATCCAAGCTAGGACGACCAACGCGGAGTTTGCCAGTCGACGCATTTTTCTCACGGGTGACTTGGCGCAGGGATGCTCCCGCACCGATCGCGAATTTTCACCGATCAAGTTGCTCAGAGGGCTTTCCCGCATCTTTGCAGTTCTTCAGGGAAAGGGTTTTTTGACCCCTATTTGCCGGCATCTTTTCTCCCCACAACTTTCCTAACACTTCACAAATAAACCGATTCATAACGAAAATGGGAAGGCTAATATCTCGCATCTAAAAGCTATCATTCATCGGTCGTAGCGAATTTATGATGAATATTCAGCCGAAAAACAATTTTGGCGCTGGTACTGAGAAACAAGTAAGATATTCGCTATTAGAGTTGCCATTTTTCAAGGGGTTGGGAAGACTCAGCCAATTCTTTCTAGCCATTCATAAGTGGAATAGCGCAGATGGTGCAGTGAAGAAAGGCGCACTATTATAAGGGATGGTCATAGTTCGGATCCCGGTTCGATACTCGCCCAAGAAACAAACCTTTCCACCCTCCACGATTCTTCATGGAAATTGAGTGGGGACACAATCCGAAAGCAACCGGGCTTGATTAACCTCAAAATTGGCCAGCTTTTTACATTTGTGATCGTCAAAAACGATTGTTAGTATTGTACGGCTCTTCAACCTGCATCTTCCGGAGTAAAAACATCATTCTTGCCGATTTCTAAACAACGCAGTCAACAAGCTGCGGGCCGGCAACAAGGGCATGGCCAGCAGGCGATGTAGAAATCGACGCTTTTCTCAAGGAGTTAATACATTCGGGGTACAACAAGGAGGGAAACTGGGGCTTTGGGGCTTAGGTTACGGGCAATGCAATAGTGAAACAACAAATGAGCCATACACAACTGATGCAGACTTCTACAAATGCGTCAGACGCTGAGCACTTGTGAAATAAGTTGCAGTTGTTGGATAGACTCAAAAAGAAACTCCATGGTTATCCCGAAAAGCTTTCATCAATAACGACTTGCTGCCCTTATTAACCGCTGTTGTTTCGCCGCAGTCCCGCCCCAGGCCGAAGTTTTTCCCTAAATTCCCCAACTATGAGCCAACCTCATCGAGGTTACCAATGCGAAAGGATGTTGAGGTTCGAAAACGCGTTGGAGCCACTTTGGGAGACAGCTCTCTCACGTTTCTCGTATTGAACACTTGAGCCTTCGAAGTTAAGGAAGCTTACTGCCTTGCTTAGTCCCCATATTTCACTTCTGGTACGTAGCACACTCAGATCACTGATATCACTCGAAAATGAGCTAAGGTAATGTTTGGTATTTGATGTTACCCATACATTAGAGTTTGTTGTAATCTATTTCTTTGAATTAATCAGAGCACTTGACCAAAAATTACGAAAAGAAGGTTATGGACCTCCTCTAAAGGTATAAGGGCTTTCAAAAAGCACTGCCATATTTCAAACTCTGTTCAAAAAATAGAATGTAACTACAACTGATGAAAGAATTCGTGGCTATAGGAACTGATTCATATCGATAACCATTGCCACGGAAAACAGTATAAGAGATTGCGGAGCAGCTGGGTGAAGTGCCTAGCGCGGTGATTTTCGCGCAGCTTTTCGAACAATCAGGAAAGCAAACAGACTCCAGCAAAAAAGTCAATGGTTTAAGATATGGCAACATTATCGACATCTCTGGGATCCACTACAAGTTACGGGATCCTACCTGAATTCTGGAAGGCATTTTGCGAATACATATCTGATAGGTCTGATGATTCTGGCTACGCTTCTGAGAATTCTTTTCCTCTAACATTGTACTAATGAAAGTGAGGACAAACCGATTGGTTAGTTGGGATACGCTCTGCACTCATCCTTGATTTGGAGTGGGAGGGCACAAATGGGCTGTGCAATATGAAGCTTATGAGAAGTAATTGGTGCTCAGATCAGTGTTTCGGCCTCTCACCAAGGCCTGCCACCAACTAGCCGGCCTCTAGGGTTCGTTAAAGTTGGTGGGCCTGACCGCAGAATTTGGAGCAGTTCAAGCAATGACATCTAGGCCTTCTGTGCGAACTGTGACAATAAACGATTTCGGAACAAACGTTTTCATTGTAAGTCACTCTATTCTGTATCGTGAGGGTGGTGGCGAGAGGGGGGGATGGCGCACAATCGCATGTGTGGCCCGCATTTCTTGGATCAGTACTCGCCCAGGCCAATCAGTCTTTCTTCTTCATCGAGGTCTATCATTTGGTACCGAATGATCTTAGAAGAATTAGAACGCCGACTTGTACATCTGATTGGCTCTAGCACGTTATTGTATAGCCACATACATATGGAGGACTTGAAATACCGCTAGGACTTCGACTGGAAGTCAAAAGTGGGGACGCACAACGAAAACGAGATTGAGTAACGTCCCAAGAAACTTTATTTTTTCCATTTTACTTATTTATAGCACTCGAGTATCAGATTCAGGCTACCTCTTGGATCTATTGGTCAAGATAGAACTCGGATAGTGATCGAATTCTCATCACTGGCAGTCAAATCTGGACCAGTACCAGATCCTAGGGTAATCCCGCTGATTCCAGTGAGAGTACCCTCTGACTTGCCTTCAATTTTCGGATGAGTGCTGCTCTTCTTTGCTTCATCCAAATTCATTCATTAGGACCGAAAGACAACGAGTTATTGTCAAACCTGTGCCAAATAGCAACGAACAGCGCACTGGAGCTTTACGATCATCTTAGCGAGAGCAGCATCTCGTAGCTCTTCCATTTTGGCGACTGTACCTGCACGGAAGAACACCTGAAATATTCTGAAAATCCATCGATCGATCGGCATTCAAGTGCTGGGGGAGAAAACGAGATTTTTTCACGAGGCTAGAGGACCTGGACAACTGGTGACATTGCCGATTGCTCAACGGGGTTAGCTAGGTATATTGCAACCCTCACTGCTGCTCTGCAACCAACTACTATATATTGGTACATATGTAGGATTTGGAAGTTCGTGTTTTGCTGATGGGGGCCGAATTACGGTTACGTACAGCAGAGATTGTCTGACCTCTACTATTACAACTGCGTCGGTACCCTTTCTCCGAGGGAGGTCCCAACACTTTTTACAATCAGAGGGGAGTCAGACAATGAGCCAGGGAAGCGCATGCGGGCGGGCGTGTTGCGTGATGGAACGAGAGAAGGCTGTACCTAGGGATATTACTATTCCCGAGGGATTAGTCTAGCGACTTTGAAGATATTACCAATGGCTTTAAGCTCCCTGTTTGTTCATACTATTGGACAAAAGAAAGAAATTTGTATGCATTTAGCAGCTAGTGGAGAAAAGGGAGTCTATTACTTTTACTTAGGAAATAATTTACCTTAGTCGAACCGACTTTGAACATGTCGTCTTTGATTTTGTTCTCA